TTTCTCTAATCACCAGAACATAGCCGGGGATGATGGTTTTAGGGTTTCGTTATGGCTTAGGGTCTAAGGTTTCGGGTTTACGGTGCGAGGAGGAGGAAGGTTGTGTAGCACTGCTTGCTGGAAGGTGAAACTGTTGATTTCTGCTTTCGGGCTTTGTTGCTGCTCGGCACAAGGGGTACGGCACACATGCGTCCCGAAAGAAAAACCGACGCAATCTGACTATGTTGGTTCGGCCGTACACCGTCAGAGCTGCAAGTTTACTCGCCCCTGAATTTTTCTCCTCCTCCTCCTCCTCCTCCTCCTCCTTCTGCTCGGCCTCTTCCTCGTCTTCCTCCTCGTGCTCCTCCTCCTCCTGCCGTCCTGCTACTACCTCTACCTCGACCCCGACCTCTATGTATCTACTACCACCGCGACTGCTGCTAGTGAAACCACCACTACTCTACGGCGACGACAACGACGACGACCCAGCTACGACACATCTTGCACCGCAGCGGAGCTCTTTTGTGGCCAAGATGTCGAGCTTTGCGCACTGTGGTCGGTTTGCTTGCGCAGCCTTGCACCTGGATGGGTTATACTGGCGGAGGCCCAAGTGGATTTTTGAGATAGTTGGGTTTGGGCTCTGCGGTAATCCGATCCCCGGTATGGCTTCTAAGGAAAGCATCATCAGCTGAAATCCCTGTGGGCTTCCCAGGACATCCTGCTGGCAGCTATATATGCCGGACGACAAATTCGAGGGGTCAGCGAACAAGGGTGGCCCAGCGTGGGGCTCAGTTCAATCCTCACAGCCCGATCCGTGGATGGAGCTTTGGGGCTGCGGCTCTTTAGCAACTCTTCAGAATAAGGTTACTATAACCATAGTAAGGAACTCTAAAGACGAACATTGGCACTTATTCGGCTTCCACGATGTGATTTGTGAGGTTGGATTTACTTGCTGCTTTTGAATGGAGATGTCACCTGCCGCCCTTCAATCAGAAAACGACAGCTGCTAACTGCGAGTCAAAGCTAGCGAAGCCCAAAGCCGTAAACCCTTTTCAGCGTGGGCTTGGATTGCGTGCCAGCGAACCGTAAACCCTAAACCCTCAACCCTAAAACCCTAAACCGCTCAGAACTAAGCCGACCAAGATGTTGGATTGCATAGGTACAAGAAGAAGGGGCGTGAGACCTCCATGATCCCGAAGATGCTTCGAAATCCTAGTAATGTAGGGGCCTGCATGGTGAGGTAAGGGTTTTGGGGCCCCTTATACCATACTTATAATAAGGAGCCCCAAAATAGTATGGGGAATTATTGAAGCCCCTATGTTTTAGAACCCTCTTATGGATCCCTTATAGAACCCTTTAAGGATCCCTTTTTAGGAACACGACAAGTATTCAGGCCACTTTAGTAAGCCTTCCTGGGCACTGCGACATGATTCAACCATTCTGCAGACTTGCATGTCCGTCGATAATGACACAGGGAACAACGGGTTTATCTTCGAGGTTCTCTAATGGTATAGTACCCGAAAAAGTATGAAAGGCGGCTCAAAGGCCAGCAACGAACATCAGAATAGCCGGATAGGTAATCGTTTTTAATTTATAAAGGCTTAATCACTGGCTGTGGGCACCCATTGCCGGCTGCCCTCCGGCAAGGAAGCTTCTGTACACGTTTGCTGCCGCTTACTCTTGAAGCGTCTACAGCGCATCTCAGTCCTCAAACAGGACCTGGAATCGTGCAACAAAGTAACCTTAAACCCTGAACCTAAACCGAGATGAGACACACCCACTGCCCCACTGCTTCCCAGCAAGCCGTCAGCAAGCTCTAAACCTTGAACCCTAAAACCTACGAGTGCTTAAACTCTTCTAACCCTGGGGATCAAAATAGCCCAAAAGCCTTACATAGTATGGTCTTTGGGCCCAAAATAAAAGCCTTAATATATGAGTGCTTAGATCCCTAGGGTAGAAGCCTAATTTTTGTGCCCTAAGCCTTAAGATGCTTCAACCCAAACCTCGGTGACCGAAGTAGAACACATTCAAAACAAGACATAAAACCCTAAACCCCATGAGGAAATACTACAGGCTGTCCTGAAAGCAGCCTTTGGTGCATACTATAGTTTTGGCGGTACGGTATACGATAGTTTTCGGGGTATACAGACAAATTGTTGTATACTGTAGTGTTGGAGAATACGATAATGGGGTATGTATGTATATATATATATATATGCACTAAAGACTATGGCCATTAGGATCTAATGGTTGGATATCCAAGACCCGGAAGCCCTCGGACCTGGAATAAGGCGTCCCAGCACCGAGAATCTCAGAGTTGCATCTGGGAATCCTCAGCGAGAAGGACGGACTGGGGCTTCGGGATTACGGGTTTAGGTCTTAGGGTTGTGATTAGGGCTTATGGGGCTTAAGGCTTCGGGTTTAGGCTTACGGATTACAGGGTTTGGACTTTTGCAACTCGGACAAATTCGGCGAGGCTGGTTCTGTTCGGCAAGATAGCCAGTGTTTGTGATTAATTCCCTAGCTCTATGTCTAGTATCTGTTTCATAGACGACGAAAGGTATGGTGTGACTCTCTCGATAGATCCTACAGATCCTGAACGACACCCCAAACCATGAACTCTCTTACCGTTGGTTAGTAGGGAATGGAGGAATGGGATACAATTATAACTACTATTACTACCATTCTTCCATTCCCTACTAACCAACGGTGAACTCTGCAAGAATCACCGAAAGCGTCTCGACTCGAGGGCTGCAGACCTCTGGTCTCAAACACTGGGTTCCAAGGACTTGCGTTTACCCTAAGGCCCCAAAGTAGTTCCTTTTTGGGGTGCATATCTAGAATCCTATAAAGTAATCCCAAAAAGGAACTACTTTGGGGCCTATGGGTAAGTTACCCTTACCATCATGGGGGCCTGTAGTAAACAATATGAGTGGTTGTCAAAACTATGGTCCCTTTTTGTATAATAAGGACCCAAAAACGTACCATAATTTTGACAACCAACCATATGGCTTTCTTAACGTGGTAACCAGAACGCTGAACTTGAACATTTGCCGACTGAGTAGCCCCTTCCAGCGGCAGCCACAGCCTCAGGTCAACAGGCGCCACAGAACATACAACATGTTTGTAGGATCCCTACTTAACGGATCATGGGACTTAGTAAGTGGGGTTATAAATGAGGTAACTATACTTATAGGTACTTATAACCCCATTTACGGCCCTTATAACCTTACTTACTCCGTCCCATGGTCCTCCAAGTATACATTCCATAGCAGGCTGAACGCTAAGCCTCTTGCGACGCAGTAGGGTTGTGCAGCTTCAGGCAGGGTTCAGCATACGGTTTACGGTTCTGTTTCAAGGAACTTCTGAACTCTGCAACTTAGTTGCTGAGTTCATAAGCCCCCCAAAGTATACACTTTTAGTTTTATAGTGGGTAATATGATCCCAAAGTATAAAGTGTATCCACTCAGCTACTAAGGCAAATTCTACCTTCAACCCCAAACTCTAACCTCCACATCGTAAACCCTAACCGCAACTGGCTTGCAACGTCAAGCCAGGACAGCCTTCTCGTTCTTCTTGAAATTTGCACTCGTGCCAGCTCAACCCTACACCCTAAACACTCCCTAAACCCTAAGACTTGAATCACCCTCTCAGTGCCATTCAGCCAAAATGCAGCGATGACTCGGCAGAGGAGTGGCAAATGTAAGGCGGCCGACTACCAGCCTGGCTGCAACTGCGCGAACGAACTCCAACATCCCTCAAGAAAGACTTGGGTTTCAGGGGTAGGGGTCTGGGGCTTTGCGGGATTTTTTGCACTTGTCCTGACATATTAATATTGGCAAAGAGCAGAACCCCATACTGAAACTGAAAGGGCCTGGGGTCTGGGATGGAGAGATATTTACCGAAAGCCCTTATGCTGACCCAGTTCACGGGGCCCAAACGAGTGACGCTTTAAATGCCAAGGGGGGGGTGCAGACTGACAAACTTCAAACCGCACGGTCAACTTCCAGGCATTGCGGTATCCCGAGAGCCCCAACACAGTAACACCCTCAACGCGCAAAGTCAGGACTTCCAACCCTTGAAAAACTGCGGGAATGGTGATGCAAGAAAATCGTAAGTTTTTTGTTGCTGACCAGTTAAAACATAGGGGCTTGAAGAATTACTTTGACTAATTACTTGCATTATTCCACAGGACTCCTTGTTATAGAGACACTATACCTTACTATGTCTCCTCAAGTTTGTTCCAGTTCTCCACATGCATTGCCGTTGGATTCTTGAAGTTGAAAGCTGACCTGGGAAACAGCATAAAAGATCTCAGTCCTGCCCAGGCTTGGGGCTTTAGGGTTCAGGGTTTACGCCTGGTGCACTTCTGGGTACACTTCTGAATTTGTGCGTGTCATCCGTGCGCAGGGGCCATGGTTCAGGGTTTAGGGTTCGGCTTCGTCGTCGCTTCTTGAAGAGAGGGCTTTGGGTGGACTCGTCTGCCAAGCATTCTGAGCTGGGCTCTTCCATTGTTCAAACTAACTGCTCTGGTGTTTCTGTGGTGATGCCCTTAACCCTAATCCCAAACTTTCCCCAAACCTCAAACCCATCCAAAACCTAAACGATCGAGGTAAAGGTGTGCTGATTGCCCGAGCTTAGGTTTCTAGTCGACAAACCGTGACTCCAAGTCATGGGGCCAAGATCGCCTTTTCTAGAACCTTTGCATTGCGGACTTGAGCCGCTCTAAACATCTCTAAACCCTACATGACCCGAACCCGCAAAAACACCTTAAGCGCTCTGAACCGCCCAAGCCAGACGACTGAAACTATACTTGCAGGCTCGCTAGGCTTCTTTGTAAGCTGGAATACCCTGCACAACCTTCACTGATCATGTGAGCCCTCTTTGTAATCAGGACAGAGGCCATGGGGATGGTGCCAGCCCTCGATGCTGTCTCAATCTGTCGAAAGACAGGTACGTCCTCGGTTTAGGGTTCCCAGCGCCCCGGTTCAGTCGCAACAGAAAAAGGGGTCGTGCCATTACTAACTGGCTCCCTGGTGCTTGTCAGCCTTGGACTTTGCCAAAAGACCTGCTGTCTCCATCTGTCCGTTCTGAGCTGCAACGAAAAGCCGGGTGGCTTCTCGGTCGGTTGTAGCCGTTGTAGCCTTGTCGTTGTCAGCCCTGGCATTAAGCAAAAGCTGGACAACCTCCCACTGCCCACGCTCTGCTGCATTGAAAAGAGGGGTGACATTAGCGTTCGTGGCCTTATCCTTGTCAGCCTTTGCCTCCAGCAAAGTGCGCACTACCTCCACCTGTCCATTCTGAGCTGCAACGAAGAGCGGCGTGGCTTCCCGGTCCGCTGTAGCCTTGTCCTTGTCGGCCCTGGCATCAAGCAAAAGCCGAACGATCTCCAACTGCCCTCGCTGTGCTGCAATGAACAAAGGCGTGGCGTTATTGCTCGTAGCCTTGTCCATGTCAGCCTTGGCCGCCAGCAGGATGCGAGCTACCTGTAAGTGGCCTTGCTGGGCTGCAGCGAAAAACGCAGTGCCGCCCCTATCCGTGGCCTTGTCCTTGTCAGCCTTGGCCTCCAACAAAAGGCGTGCTACCTCCAACTTCCCATTCTGAGCGGCAACGAAAAGCGGAGTGGCATCCCTGTCCGTTGTAGTATGGTCCTTGTTAGCCTTGGCCTCCAGCAAAAATCGCACCACCTCCAACTGCCCGCGCTCAGCCGCAACGTACAGAGGAGTCACGCCCCTATCCGTTGTGGCCTTATCCTTGTCAGCCCTGGCCTCCAGCAAAAGGCGAGCCACCTCCAAGTGGCCTTTCTGAGCTGCAAAGAACAAAGCCGTGGCATTGTTGCTCGTGGCCTTGTCCTTGTCAGCCTTGGCCTCCAACAAGAGGCTGGCCACCTCCACGTGGCCCTGCTCACATGCCACGAGAAGCGGAGCTGGATGACCTAAATCTGGGTTTTGCGGCCTTTGCAGAATGGCTTCCACGCGTGCTGTAACGCCCCTCTCTGCCGCACGCCGGAGCTCTGTTATTTGAACTGCAGATGCTGTGATGAAGTTTAGAAGCACGAGCTGAACTTCACCCGGTTTCAAGATGTCTTCGTCGTCAGTGTCATTCAACACGATGCCGTCATCTAAAAATGCTAGCCGTTGCCTGAATCTTGGCTGGCTGCACAAGCGCTGCAAGCGCTGCTTGAGTGCCCGGACGGGATGGCTGCCTGCAGCCAGCGTTTCCAGAAAGCTCGTCAACTCAGTCGCGAGAAGAACTTCCCCAGACACCGAGCGAATGCTTAACATCAGCGTAATACGAGGGCCTTAAAAATTACAATAGGGTTCTGAGGCCCATTATACGAGGAACCCCCAAAATAGCATAGGTAATTATTTAAGCCCCCTGTACTACTCGACGACTAGTGGTTTGTTGGAAAACAAGCCTTAGCAGCTGAGAACTTGGGTATGAACGCAAAGCCCTGGGGTTCGCGTAAAGCCTGCAGCCCTTGACTTACAGTAGAAGCCCAAAAGTTGGAAACCCCAGAGCCTCCATCCTTAAGAGTTATGTATAGGGAATCCCAGCACTATTTGGGCTTAATCCAGTTTCCAACTTTATGGGGTTTATATACTGTAGAACATCTGCAAGTGGTTAGAGCCGAGCCATCTCGGCTGGCCGTTTGTGTGCACACATGATTTTGCAGGCTCCCAGCTGACTTGAATTCGCCTTCCCAAACAATGTAATACAGGAGCATAAATAATTACCAATACTTTTTTGTGGGGTTCCTTATCATAAGTATAATATAAAGATCCCCCAAAACCCTATTCTAATCATTAAGGCCCCTATGTTGAACACATCGCACCACCCAGCGCTGACAATGGTAAGGGCAACAATGTCAATAGAAATGCTGAACTGGGACATTTCTTGAATATGTATAGATCAATGTCTTGCTTCCACTTGCTATATAGCTGAAGCAATACTCATCCTGATGGTGTGACATATTTAACTTGCCATGCTTGAGCAATAGCGAAGGATACATAATAGTTTACTATACTGTTGGGATGCTTTAAAGACAATGTATTGCTGAATAATGTCTACCAAGCCTTCCAAGACTGCGCATCCACGTGGCCACGAAGTTCACACACAAAGTTCATATCGGAAGGTCAGCCCAAAATCCTACATCAACATGAACCATGTTAGCAAGAAGCCTCTGTGACTTGCAGGGTCAACCCAAGCAAACCGTGAAAAGCAAAATTATTTCCCGGGTACGACCTACCCGAACCTGACGGTTGTCGAAAAGTCGAAACTCTCAGTCGCGAAGCGAACCATGGTGTACACAGAAGCCAATCCCCCCAAGTATCAATCCCCACAAGACCCCATATGGAGCCGTGAGCCTACACCCTAAGCAACCATGAAAGCCCTTCTAAACCCTACGTGAAACCCCTGCTAATACAGCCCTGCGGAGCCCTGCTGTGGCACGCCTTCGGGTTGGCGGCGTAATGCGCCGCATCCTCCGCGGGGATATTTGCTGTGGTGTGAGCTTCAGGACCGAAACCATTCCCTGCCTCAATCGTTAATAATGTCGCACTCATAAAGCCCTCACCCCTGAAGTCCTAACGCTTGACCTTTCTAGCTGCAAATCCCAAACCCTCAGTGCCATACCTTTCAAACCCCTAAACCCTGTTGGCCTCAAACCAAGAGGTATGTCCATGCAGCCCTAAGCCCACAAAACTTAACGTCTTATAAACCTCGAGCCCAAAGACCCGGAAAACCTTGTAGAGTGTATTTCATAAACCCTAAACCTTCGAGGCCCTGAAGCCACCCAATTGGCATCTGAGCACGTCTGCGCCGTCACGATGCTGAGGTGCGGACATCTGGAGCGATGACCAAGACCATCTTTGACCCAGCTCCTTTGTATGTTGCAAGGGTTTGTGAGAGGTTTACTGTCGGCCTTTCAGGGGTCCTGGGTTTGGGTGTAGAGTGTGGTTGAAGGGGGAAGAACTTGGGGTGAAATATTCGAACTCTCGGGTTTACCAGCCCGCACCCTGTTTGTACCAGTTTAGCCACTGTGGGCTGGGGCTTTCGATTGGAGGTTAAAGGCATTCAGGCCAGTCTTGAACGCACTCATCGGCTTTTCATGCCCCTAAAAACTCTGTGCTGTGGGACAATTGACTGAGTAGAGGGTAGGGTGAAGGAACCCATAGAGTGTAGATACGCCGAAGGCAGCCCGGCTATATAGGGGCCCACAAACGCCCCTAAGCATATGCTCTTAAACGTAGTCCCCATAAAGGGCAGCCAGAAATACTGTATGTCTATGCGCTAATTTGGCAAACAGCTTGCCAAGGTCCTTCATGTACTCCATGCGAAGAACCAGTAAGATTCACCCCCAAAATAAACCCCAAAGGCCGTCGATCGTTCCATAAACCCCAAGCCCCACAGAGTAGATCAGCGTAGCAGATAATGGTCCTTAATCCTCACCTTCGGGCAAAGCCATCAAAAAACAATATGTACGTAAGTATTTGCAGCAACACGTCCAGCATCAACTACAACCACGAAGACAAGCTGTACCCCTGCAAACCCGCTTGTAAGTAGCCTCAGCAACTGTAGTCGCGATCCCAAAGAACAACAGCCATTCTCGGACAAAACCCTGAACCCTAAAGGCCTGCGACCGATAATGCTGCTGAGCTCACAGGCCTCAAACACTAAATCTACTAAGGTAGAAACCCACAAGGTTCCTGGACACAAAATGTTGAAGGCATTACCTCTACAAACGGGCACGCTAGATTTTATGTAGGGTTTAGCTTCAAGATTGCATCAGGCGGGGTCACACTTTCCTTTCGAGAAGGGATCCGCAGTCTGAGTGCCACATGACATGTGTTGTAGAAGATCGTTACCACCATCCGAAGACCGTGATTGAAGCTAAGGTGCGAAAGCGATAAGCGGCAGCAAACATCTTCAAGCGAGCGGTCGTCAAGTCCCCTGATTGAAGGTTTCCCATCTTATTCGGGTATAGGGTGTTAGATTCAAAAATCTAGTCCGGAAGCTGTATTTTGGCTATTTTGGGGCCTGAGGGCTTAGGTGCAGGTTCTTGTCAGATCTAAGCTTTCAAGGCTCGGGGCATAGAGTCTCCAAAACCCAACCGTTAAGGAATATGTGCATAACTAGTGCATGCTTATAGATACACAACACATACGCCTTGACTCATACAAAGGATCCCCTAAATCACCGGTATACTCCAGAATAAAAGGTGTTCTGAGCTTCTAGGAGTGATGTAGAGCACGACGAATTTAGGCAGGAGGTTGAGATTTTCCGCAGCTGACAAGCTCGGGCGGACATGCTACGTAAACCTTTGTCAGCTTTCGGGTTTCGACTCGCACACTCTCGCAAGCAGGGACGGCTCTCGAGGTCTCCTTGCTACCGTTACGTACCGTGACATGCAGGCGGAAGCATTCGAGGGAGGATTCATGGCCCACAAGTATATATGTATGGAAAGAGTGGTATACATAGGTCTGACAACATCGAGCTGCTTGCAGTCTATCGCACCTAAGCATGTGAGAGTCCTAATGGTCTGAAAGTTTTATCATGGCATAGCCGCAAAATACGCCGAAGCCCAGTGACTCAAGCACAACCTGGTCAGCGTTTCGGACCTTCGGAATCCTTCGGAGCCGCATTTCTTGGAGCGCTTGCATCAGACTCTGGTCGAGCACCTATCCCATCTGCGCCGACAGTTGATGTACGACATCTTGAAGATCCTGGACTGCAGCATACGACAGCTGGTTTTGAGACCGAACACGATGAGTCGGCCCAATCGTCGTTCCCGAAAGCCACATTTGTCAACGTCAGGTACAGGAGCTGCACCTCAGCCAGCACGCCCCAATACACGTTCCCAGAACACGCTTCAAGACGCACCGGTTCACCGATGAGCTCCGACATTGGATGGTCCGCCAGTGGCATTCGGGTTTAGGGGCTTACTTCGAAGATCATAGGACTTAGTAAGTAAGGTTATAAGTACCTTAATTGGGGTTATAAGTAGTTATAAGTATAGATACCTCATTTATAACCCCACTTACTAAGTCCCATGATCCTCTAAGTAGGCTTTAAGGAACCTTCGGGACAAGACAGTAAAAAGCAGGTCCTAGGGCTTCCTTTCATTCGGCCGCATGAGGAGGGGCCGAAATAAATCCAGTATAATGAACATAAGGAACCCCAAGAAATAATATGGGCAATCATTCGGCCCTGCTGCGTGGCCTGGACAATCGGAATAGGGTTTCGGGGTGTAATATAGCATAGTCACAATAAAGAACCCCCAACGAATAACGTTGGTAATCATTTGGCCCCATTTCCAGCCCCCAAGTCACCAACCTCTGGAGCGTAAGCCCCAAACACCAGCATGCCGACCGTGAAAAGGGCCTTAAGGGTTAGAGTTGGGTCTTGGGGTATTCTAGCGTTATACGGTTTAGGGTTTAGGGGGGGGGGCGGGTCTTGGGGTATTATAATCTGTTATACCAGGACCATAAAGGGCTGTCATGAATACGCACTGAAACCTCTGCATTACCTGCCGGAGGCCTGCGGCAGGAAGCATCTCGATATCCTTGCGCCTGCACAGCTGTTGCATGCGATGGTGGAAGTCGGCAAGACTAATGTGGTCGTTGTTCGGGCTCAAATCCACTTAGCTATATCAGCCACAACGTCAAAGCAAGAACTCCCAAATCCCAGCTTCAACCATCCATAAAGCTTGAGCAAGGCACCCCAAACCTCAACGAACCTCATTTTCGCCATTAGGTAGCAACGAAACCTAACTCTAAACCCTAAAGTAAAAGCCAGAAAGTTGGAATATGATTACCCTAAACCCTTTATGGTAAATTATAAGGTATCCTACCCTGAAACCATATTCCAACTTTCTGGAGGTCCCTTTAAACCTCAGGGCTGCAGTTGCGACTTCAAGTGTTGGGTCGTCTCTCAGTCTAGTTTAGGTTCGAAGACTCAGCTAGGGCGAGCATGTTGGCCCCAACACCAAACCTGTCGGTGACCAACAAGAGCTCCTATGCAGACTGGTGAATAACAACAAGACTTGGGCGTGCAGAACCACGACTCAAGCGCACATAACTCAACTCGCCAAACCATTACAGGCTAAGGTTCCTGTGCTCGTCCACCAACACGCCGGTGGGCTGCGTTCTATTATTCTACAGATAGAACAACAAACACAGATAGAACAACAAACGCATCGACAACATACGAGTAAACGTGTGTCATATCGGAACCCTTCGAGCAACTAGTAAACACACTGGCACAGGAACCGCTAAGGAATCCTTCTAGCAACCCTTCAAAGAAGCCGTTAAAGGAAGCTTCAAAAAGAAACCCTTAAACAACCCTTGTAGGAACCCTTGAAAGAAGCCCCAAGAAGTAAGTCTATTTCTCAAAAGTTTACATACACCCTCAAGCCTCAAACCCTTAACAAAAGTCTATAAGGCCAGGACAGGTCGACATTCCCCAAAGCACGCGATCGACGACGGGATTCTGATGTTTCTTTCTGTTTCACCAAAACCCACCGAAACCCCTGAGCTCAGGTCTCGGCCGGTAGCTGTGATGTGGGACAAAGCCGGCGTCTGTCTCCGCGGCCTGGAGCGCGGCCCGGGCTTCGGATTGGGCTTTACTTGGAGGATCATACCTATATAGGTACTTGGAGGCCCTTTTGACTTAGTAAGTAGGGTTAGTAAGGTGGGTTATGGGGATTATAATGGGGCTTCTAGGGGATACTAAGTAGACTTACTAAGTCAAAAGGGCCTCCAAGTAGGTATAGTTACCTTATTTCTAACCCACTTACTAAGTCCCATGATCCTTTAAGTAGAATTTCAGGTTTAGGGGTTTGTGGGTTTATGCACAGTGTCTGCAGGGTCTGGGGGCTAAGGGTTAAAGGGACTTGAAAAGGTTTTAGGAGTTTATGCATATGTAGACCCCATTTTTTAACCAAGGCTTCGATAGCGACTTCATACCAAGCGTCATCATCAATCATCAATATGGAGCCTCAAAAGCCTATCACACTCACACTCACACTGGCCCGGGAACACAATCGTTGGGGGCCTATTGAAACCCTGAAGCCCTGAACCTTAAAGCCCCAAGACCTAAACCCTCAATTCCGAGACCCTGACCCCCCACACGCTTAGGTTCGATTGGCCTTGGCACTGTTGCCACACTGGGATCGATCTGGATCTGCAGCCTCGCCGGCTCAGCGTTCAAAGTTTAAGGTCCATGTCTCGGGGGGTTTGCGGCTTTGGGGGTTCGAGGGCTGATCGATATGGGAGTTTCCGAAAATGAGGGGTAACTTTTTTTGGGGGGTCCTTATCATAAGGATCCTACTATTTAGGGTACTATATTAGGGTCCCCTATTTTCGGAAAGTCCCATATGTTAAGCCCCCACACCCTCAACTTTGAACCCCTGTCCGAAAACCGAAGAAGACCAAGATTTCAGGAAATCCTCAACTTCAGGATGTTGCCTTCTCGTGGTCGGGGGCATCCTCCTCCTTGCGCTTTGAGAGCCGCAAGATACCTCGCCGACACTGACGTAGGCTTTGAGCTTAATGCAGTTTTTCGGATGCCACCCCGGGCTTCTTTACAATTTTATCGGTCGACATACCTAGTTGCTGAGTTCATAAGCCCCCAAAAGTGTACACTTTTTGTTCTTGCTCCCTTCATGTCGTGCCATCATCAGTGGGTAATATTATCCTCAAAACTGTAAACTGTATCCACTCAGCTACTGAGCCATATTAACGGTCAGCATCTGCGTGGCCGAGCATGTCGGTTCAGGCTTCCTAGCTTCTAGGCTTTCAGCGTCGGTTCGGGGATGGCCTCAGGCTCGCACGCGTTCTCGTCACCCTTCGTCGCCTCTAAACCTCGAACCCCAAACTCTAAGCCCTACGCCATAAGCTCTTAAACCCCAATCCCTACCTTGAACCCTTGAACCGTGCCAAATCCAGTCGTATACCTTCGCCATGCGGCCTTGCATGATTGGGGCTTTCGGCGCTAATTGAAGTTTTGCCTCCCGCATTGCTAGGACCTACCCGCAGGGTGTCTTGGGCTTAGGGTACACACCCTGAACCCAGGAGCTGCAGGATTCAAAGCTCTGGCATGCTGGAAAGGAATGCATGGCGTCACAAAAACTTCCTGAGCAAGAAAGTGCCCTTAGCATCGTGAACACCACGACATGTATGCATGTATTTATGTTTGTATGTATGTATGGATGGATGTATGTACGGATGTATGTATAGATGTGTGTATTATGTATGTATGCAAGTGTCTGTCCAGCTGTCCGTCTGCTTGCCTGTGCGTTTGTCTTCCTGTCTCTGTGTGTCTCCGTCTGTCTTCCTCTGTCTGTCTGTCTGTCTGTGTGTCTGTCTGACTCTGTATGCATGTATGTACGCATGTATGTACGTCCTTCTCTGAACATATAGTGCAAAATGACTGTAGCTTCGGGGCAGTTGGGTGCATCTTCAAGTCTGCAAAACATAATTTTCAGCCTAGCAAGGCCCAAGCCCGAAATTTCTAAGCAGCAGCCAGGGCATTTAGTGCTTCGATGTGCCTTCAGTCACGTAGACAAGGTCGCCGCCATCAGGGGGTCGCTCACAAAGGTAGGCGAAAATATCGGCGTCCTGGCTGCTTGGCTCTCTCCGCATACGCAGGTTGTGGTGATGCTACATGGGAGTTTCCAAAAATAGGGGACCCTATTATAGTGCCCGAAATAGTAGTTGTTATTATAAGGGCCCCAAAATAAGGTAGCCTGAATTTCAGAAACTCTGACATAAGGACTTCACAATGTCCGAGTCCATATGGAGTTTCTCTTCCTGAAGCCCCTAGTGAAATTCGTGCTGTATCTTGGGTCTTCTGATGGTGTCCCAGCCGTGGTACTGAAGGCCACGTTGCTACGGAAGCACGTGAGACTGGACCAGGGTCAGTATCGTAAAATATCGTAGACTAGTCGTTGACACTCGAACTCGGACTGAATTAATTATGCCATCTATCCGCACCCTCTAGACTCTAGCCGTTAAGAAAGCGCAAGACCCAGGGAAAAGCACATACTTTTAGCCGAAGCTTGGTCAAGTTGTAGTTGCTACGGAAGATTCTTTGAGCAACTTTGCTGGGGATCGTTGCCCACATCTGCTGAGGGAGCCGCCGGAAGGCATGATAAGAGTCTACATAAGAGTCCCCGTTTGCAGCTAGGTAAATTGAAACGGGAGCGTACTTGCGAAATGCTGGAGAGTCCGCATCACATCATCTTCATGGATGTCGAGGGTGGCCAACAGGTAAGAGAGCAGTGCAAGAAACGCAGTTGCAACATTGGCCAGAACGCCCAGGATGAGTCCCGAATCAATCAGAACACCAAACGTCGCCACTCCACATTTGTTTATCTGCAAATAAGCGAGAAAACGGGCGTGATCTGCACGTTCATCCTCAACGCTGTCGTAGCCGCCGAGTTTCAGGATCTCACTGCCGTAGGGGCTATGGCCGGACTGTGATATTGCTAACCACATGATGCTTTGGTCTTTGCTTGTAGAATCTGTAGACTGTAGAAGCTGTTGACATACACATGTTTGTGATGTTGGCCATTTCCTGCAGTTTTGTTCCGAAGCTATACAGCGGCGGGACTACACCAAGCAAACTGGCAAGAGCCAGAAGACCATTCGTGCTGTTGACAGCTGAAGACAAGCAAGCCACCAAAGCCATCATAGCGAAAAGCCCCAAGGAAGCCACCTCGGGTGCAAAAACCCAGCTGGCAAGAGTCCAGGCACTCTCAAGCTTGCGGTCCATATCCTTGTGTTTCTCTGTCATATCCTGCCAGAACTTGCCGGTGCCCTTCCATCCCTGCGGACCATCATGCATGTCGTCGACCAACTTCTGCACAAGGCACTTGCTCAATTTTTTTACCGAGACCAGGACATGTTTGTAGCCAAGTGAATAAATCGTCATCCAATCTAGCAATGCAAGCCATACCGCGAGGTAACTCTTGTCTGATCCGATCGCGGGCCAAAGTAAGATACCAGTCACGAGGCCGAAAACTATGCATATTATGCCTTGGCGCACGTGATGACCGTCTTCTTGAGCTGTGCGAGTCTCGTAGTTGCTCAACAGCTGTCCAAATTCCTTGCTTTCCAGAAGGCGTGCAGCTTCCTTTGTTGCGTTCATGGAACACAAGGTGGACAAGCCCAGCATCAGGGCCACCATGCGGGCTGCCTTCTCTCCATAGATGCCGACTAGATCTACATTGGGACATACAGCACCGTAGATGCAAAACGCAAATGTCACAAGCGCCCACAGCCAGCCTACACGTCCGAAGCTGAAGCATTCGAAGCACCTCCTGGCCGTTGATCCCAAAAGCTGCTTCCTTTCCATCTCGTCCCATACTGTGAAGTCATGTAGGTCCTCCTTTTGTAGAGGGTCATAGCTCGCCGGAGACATCAGAACAAAGCGGTGATGTATTTTGTCGGCCAGAAGCGTGCTCAGATGAGCTTCGTCGTCGTTAAACCAAGCAAGGCAATGGGATTTTTCAGATGGCACGCTCCTTTATGCCACTTTATGCTCTTCCGGCTGCTCATCTACATAAACCTGCTTGCTGTGGTACCATGACAAAATGTGTATCCGTCGTATGCCTCGACCCTGCTCTACAATCTACAAGCACTGCTACATATATTGCATGTCTTATTTCGTCAAGACGCTAAGCTTGCATGATGCTGCTGTCAGCATGCATGTTGCCAGAAGGGGTGGTTCCATTGTCAGGCCTGCGCATTGGGTCTCATCACCATCATCCAGTTTTTGAGATCGCACCTAAACTGCCGCACCGCAGACTTTGGGCAGCGCATTCTTAGATAATCAGTCTACAGCTTGCGGATGGTGACGTTATTTGGGGACCGTCTATCGCAAGAATCGAAAACAGATTGACCCAGACCGTTCTGAAGATCAGAAAGAGCTCCTGCTCCCGTAATGCCGGTTGTACAAGGTCCTACAACTGCGGACGTTCAACAAAGGTTGTTGTTCAATCCCGAGTCTTCAATCATGTCGATTGCGGCTCCTTCTGCATCCCGAAGCCCCAGCCCCCGACATTGATCAAGAAATCAGATGATCAATCGAATCCCGGCTTCAAAAAAATTGAGGCGGTTTGATTATATAGACGTGAGCCAAACGAAAGCCTATTGAGGGAATGATTGAAACAGCAGATCGAAAATCTAGCGCCGCACAGTCTTTGATGGAAGCCAGCAATCTAGACCGGCAACCTTGCTCATGTCCGAGAAGGAACCCTTCCAAACTGATATCCGCCAGCTCACACCTGGAATCTTAAGCCCTAACCTCTAAGCCTGGTAGCATCATGAAGTCATAAAGCATGTCATAAACCGGATAAGCACCCCGCAATAAAACCCTGGACCTTCCACTGCGTCTTACACTCGGAACCGATAACCTTAATGGCAATCTGAAAAGGTCACCTGCCCCACTTGGAGGATCATGGGACTTAGTAAGTGAGGTTATAAATAAGGGCAACTATACTTATAGCTATTTATAACCCCCAAGTAAGGTACTTATGACCTTACTTACTAAGTCCCATGATCCTCCAAGTAAGGAAGCGGTGATCAACCTTAGTTGCTCTTTGCCTCGTCGCCGGCACCCCGGAGCCGCAACGACAGCACAGGAGAGCCTTGGTCTTGGAGGAGCATAGGACTTAGTAAGCAAGGTTATAAATACTTTAATTTGGGTTATAAGTAGTTAGAAGTAGAGTTACCGTATTTATAGCCCCACCTACTAAGTCCCATGATCCTTTAAGCTATTTCTTAAAGTCGATCCGGCGCACTCTTTCGATCCGGCGCACTGGCACTGCAAGGCTTTAGGGCTCAAGGTTTGAGGGGTTTAGGGTTTTAGGGCTCTAGTTAAGGTTTAAAGCTCAAGGCCTATTTGTCTTAGGTGTTTTGAGAATGGGGGTGTAGGGTTTGTAGAGTTTAAAGGTTTCCCGGTTCAGGGTTTAAAGGTATAGGCTTTAGGGCCTGGGCGGGGTATAGAGGCTCCATAATACGGCGGGCTTAGCAACCAGCAAAGAGTTCGGGATAGATATGATGTTGAAGATCCATGACGGGACATTAAAGGGACCGTAAAGACTACTAGCATTCGTAAGTATACTTTGAGCCTTGAGCCGCGAAACTCCTGGGCTAATCCCAGAAACTCGAAGGATTTTTTGTCTGCGAGAAACCTATGGGTATTCTCAAAGCTTTAAAAACTACTGTAAATTAGCCCGTGCTTCAGCCTTGCATTTCAGGAAACGCGGGCGTAATGCAAGGGCGCAAGTTGTGCCAGTGGCCTCGACTTTTGCAAATAGAGCAAAACCTGCGACCCTCTTCATTTCGCTGCTTCACGGCTTCTTGGTCGACGCCCCGGCCGCACACCCAGAGAGCCCAAGACCCCTTAAGGAACATAGCTTAAATCATAATGTGAAGCCCCTTATAATTTAAGCCATATTCCTTAGTTAAGGGGTATTGGGCTCTCTGGGCACTGCCTCTCGGTAACTGCCCTTCACCGTCTGATAGGCCCGGTACGCAGGAGTGGCACTCCACCAGGCCGTCGGTCCGAGGGGTGGTCGCCCGACTTGGTGGGTCCGTCGTCATCCGCGGTGTCTTCCCCGGCCCTGCGGGCTGTCACATGGGTGGTTGTCAGAATTAGGGTCCCTTTTTGGGTCCTTATTGTAATACGGCACCTAATACTTAGGGTGCCCAAAAAGGGACCCTAATTTTGACAACCACCCACATGCATTGATTTCTTTCCCCGTCGCTTCCAGCCGCCCCCTTTGCCACCACTGGCCTCGGACTGCTGCCTTGCCGTTCGCAGCCCGCGGTCCTGAATCAGAGCAGGCATCTAGAAAGTAGATCCCCCTCCCTAATTTGGGGTCCTATACTCAAAAGGGTACTTTGTCGGAACCCCATCAAGGGATCTTAGTAGGGAATGGAGGAATGGGAGTAGTTATAGGGTTTAGGGTTCCCTACTACTAGTACCATTCTTCCATTCCCTACTAACCACAGGTAAGTCACCAGGGGAATGCAGCTCGCAACGCAGCTCGTGGGAACCAACCTTTCAAACTCCACGGCCCCAAACCCCATCAAGAAACCCTCCCCTAAGGCTCCATGTACCCATATAGTAGATACTTAGGCCTTAAAGTACCGGCTTAAGTATCTACTATATGGGTACATGGAGCCTTTGGGCTCAAATACGTTCTACGACAAGTTTTTGGAAAAGCCGAAATTCGACAACCAACCATGATGAAAACCCAAGTTCTCCTTGCAGCCAACTCACCGAGCATAGCGACCGGAGATTGCAATGCTGGGGTCCTTGAAATCTACTGAGAGGTTCAGTGCCTTAGGGTTTAGGGTTCCCGGACCTTCCAAAATCCTTCAATTAAGGAATATACCTTAATTCATAATAGGATCCCTAATATAATTTAAGGTATATTCCTTAATTATAAGGGATTTTGGAAGGTCTGGGTTGTGGCTTCTGAAGTGCAGGGCGAAGGTTGTTCAGGCGTTAGACTTGGGAGGTCAGGCTGTAATTTGTTGGGTTTAGGGTTTAGGGTTTAGGCCAAGAGGCCATGACTTCACTGAAATGAGCAGATAAGTTAGAAGCCTCTAAGGATAACGGCATGAAGCTTTAAGGCGTCATGTATGGTTCCCCAGACCTTCGGCACTCACTGCGACACTCCATGCGAGGCATGCTCGTCCTCGCTGCTTCAAACTTGGCGTTTCAAGCTGTGGTCAAGATGATGAGCCTGGTGTACACGCAGGGCCGGAAGGAAAGCATGCTCTCTGCATGCTTTAGGCTTGCATTGCGTTTCGGGGTTAGCCCTAGGTCGGGCATATGTGCTCGAGTTCTTCGTGAAACCTTTAATTAAACCTAAACCGTACAACTTTTGAACACTAATCCCTGACACTGGAACTCCTCTTCCCTCTCCCTCCTATAAGGCCCTCTCCCAGACTCCCGGGAGGATCTAGAAAGTAGATCCCCTAATTTGGGGCCCTATACTCCTAAGGGTACTTTATAGGAACCCCTATTAAGTGATCTACTTTTTGAATCCTCCTCGGAGTCTGGGCTCCCTAAAAGGCTCAAGTCCTCAACTCCTAAACCGTTTAACCCTTAAACTGCAGAACGCCTAAGCTCTAAGATCCCCAAAGCGCAAGACCCCCAAACCTGAGCCCTCAAACTCATACAGCCCACGACCCCTAAACCCGAAACCTCTTAAACCCCCGAAACCCTAAGACTCCTAACCCTAAGCCCACCTTAACCCCAAATCACCTACCTTTTTAGGGACTTATATGAAGAACTCATATTAGGGGGCCCTGAAAAGGTAGGTTCCTTAGGGTTAGGGTTCAGGTAGACCCTATGTAATTGCAACCCCAGACGCTCGAAGAGCAGAGCTTTCCCGGAATCAATCGCCGACCTCGGGGTCCCAGCCTAAGGGATCTAATTATTTAACTTGCCACAATAAAGACTACTTAAAGGATCATTTGACTTAGTAAGTAGGGTTATAAGTGCCTTAATCGGGGTTATAAGTGCTTATAAGTATAGTTACCGTGTTTATAACCTTACTTACTGAGTCCCATGACCCTTTAAGTATAAGTTGCCATAATACAGACTAACCACATTAGCTGCTATAGATCCCTACTTACTATGGTAACGGAAGTTAGATCCCGTTACAGGAACCCAGGCGTTAGGCTTCGAAACTCGGTTTAAGCCCTGCGTTTGTTGAGAAAACCCAAGAAGCTCAAAACGCTAGACCCTACATGAAATCAGACTTTTACACTCCAACATAGAGAAGCCTGAACAGTTTGCCAACATTATTTCGGATTACCCCCGTGGGGATCGTTAATTATACTACAGTGACACTATGAAACATACCGAAACGCGATTTGAATCGTTACGGCCCCTGAATTGCTTCTGTCAACCATCCGGGTCGCTGCTTCCACTGGTACTTGACCAGATCCTGAGCACCGGAGGGCGAGCGATCTGCGAGTTTTGAAAAACATTTTAGATGTTTTTGTGGCCTCTTTTCCGGCTGCAGGTGCAGCAGAAGTTCCTTACCAGGAAGAGCCTGTTTTCAAAGGGGGTTTAGGGATTAGGGCTCCCGAAACAGAAGACATGGCGCTGGATTCCGGAAGAATAGTGTTGACATTACGAGTAATTATTTGCATAATTATCGGAGAGAAGCTATGCATTTTGTGCACTTGTACGCAAGAAACCGGCCGGAAGAAAACTTTGCATTATTGGGGTCCTGCGTACTAATCAGAACCGCACATCAATTCCTGATTTGGCGTTTAGAGCCGAGGAATCCAGCCCATCATTTGCTTCTAGATTCTAAACCCCAAGGAAACAGACCATGCTTTACCTTCGGCCCCTCCTATGTAGGGGCCTTAACGATAAGAATAGGGTTGTGG